GGCTGAGAGCCTGTTGTCCTGTTCATGAGAATTTCCCAGCTCACTGGTGGCAGCAACCTCTGGGCTCCTGTGGGCAGAAAGTCTTTCCAGCAGCTCAGGAACCCACCTACTGTCAGGAATGAGAGGGAGGAAGGAAGAAACCACTCCACCTAGCCTTCCTGCTGGACTGCAAGCCTCTCTGGGGTTGCTCTTTGCCAATACCTTGCTCCTTCTTGTTCTGCACCACAACTTCTTCCCATGGAATCTCCCAAAAACTCTGGCACTCTTCCTTCAGACTCACATCTGATCTATGTTTGCCTGTCTGTTCATTTTTTTCTCTTTTTCTAAAGCTTCTCCTCCTTACCAAGATGTTCTGGCAGCTGGTGTCTCTGCAGACTCTACTTTAAAAAAATTTTCTTTTATTTTAACATATTATGGGGGTACAAGTGTCAAAGTTTCATATATTGCCCATGCCCCCCTCCCCCCTTGAGTCAGAGCTTCAAGAGTGACCATCCCCCAGATGGTGCACATCTCACTCATTATGTATGTATACACCCATCCCCTTCTCCCCCCTCCCACCTGCCCAACACCCGATAAATGTTATTCCTATATGTCCACTTAGGTGTTGATCTGTTAATACCAATTTGCTGGTGAGTAGATGTGGTGCTTGCTTTTCCATCCTTGAGATATTTCACTTAATAGAACGGGTTCCAGCTCTATCTAGGAATATACAAGAGGTGCTATATCACCATTGTCTCTTAAAGCTGCAGACTCTACTTTTTGATGAGTGGAGTGGCATGCATGTATAAGGAGGGAAGGAATATATATATGTATATATATATTTTTTTCCTTTCTTTTCCTGGTATTTTGTTTTAATGTGCCAAGCATTTGGATTACACAAAAGAGATTCTAGAAGTGTATTCAATTTCCTTTTTTTTTTTTTTATAGTTAGAACAATAAAAGAAGGTAGGTGGGGAAGTGGAGGGCAGAGTGTGATGAGGACACTGTCCAGCATCCCTTTTGAATGAATTGTCTCACTGAGTCATGTTTGTATTCCCTAAACTGAGAACTCAAAGACCTAAAGTAAAGTGATATACAGCGCTTATCAGAAAGTATCTGCACACACTTTGCTGTCTTTGGAGAGGCCTCTGGATGTATTGGTTCCATTTCAACCTATGAAGGCTAGTGTTCAGGGGGCAAATTTGCAAACCCAGCGACACCCTATCTTTGGAGACACCAATAACTCGGTTGCTGTCCCTCCCCTATTAGGAAAAGCAAACTGTTCATATTATTCTGCTACAGAAGAGATTTTTTAGTGTTTGTGGACTCCATAGAAAACTGACATAAAGTAGAAACCATGAATCAGAAAGAACATTAGTGAAATAATTTTGCTCATGTAGACAGATGAGAGCTGAACTTTTTTTCCTGCTGTATCTCTGAATTCCAGTTCATATTTCTTCACGTGAAAGTGGCTTTTTTCCCTTTCTTTCTGGATTTATGTTAAGCTGAGCAAGCAGTTCTGTTGAATTAAACCTAAGTATAAACAATAGATTTGGACAGCTCAATTTTGGTCCTGAATTCCATTAGAATTTTTTCCCCTCCTCTACTTTATTACAATTTCTGATTCTTTGCTCCTTGTAACCTACTTTTATATCGAATATCACATTCGTACTAGGGTATGCCAAATTGGTATTGGTATATACTGATTGCCTTACTTAGGGAAAGTGCTGAATTCAAGTTTGAAATGTTTGCACTTGACCAAACTTTTGGAAAAGAAGGAAATATTGACATTTTATTAAAAATTTAATGAAGGCAAAAGGAGGGTTAAGAGGGATAAGAATGTACTTATGGGATGCCAGGAAGTATACTATTAATAACTTCTTTGTAGGTTTAATCTCATTGAATCCTGGCTGCAGCACTATGAAGGACTTATTGGGACCCACATTTTGCAGATGAAGACGCTGAGGTTCAGAAAGCCTATTTGGTTTGCCCATGCAGTAAATCTGTGATTTGAATCCAGACCTTTGAGATTCTCAAACTCTTCGTACAAGTTCATGATCTGTGAAGAAAGGAACTTATCTGGATTCCATGTATAGTCTTGTCATGAGGTGCCTTCAAGAAAGACTTAGTGAAGGGCAATAATACTGACAAATGAAAACAAAAGCAAGCCAGTGACTGCTCAGGGAGGAGGCAGGCGCCTTTGCAGAACCGGGAAAGATCTTGAAGCCAGGGAGAAGTTGTAATCGAATAAAGAATAAAGAAACTTGGAGGTTCTGATAAAAAATTCAGGGCACAAAGATGGTGTAAAAGTTTATAGCAATATATAACATGGTTATTTTCCTCAGAGAGAAAGAATAACATTAGTCATGGGACTTAAAGTCATCTGGCTAGGAGGGAAACTAGACAGAGATGCTTAGAAGACGCAAGCTGCAACTGTAAAGATGCAAAAGTGAAGTGAGCATAGAAGGGCATGATAACAAGGATTTGGGGAAAGACATGACTAGTTTCGGAGAAGGTTAGGATATATTTGTAATTTTTTAAGTGTTATTGATTATATAATATCTTTAATTTATGTAACTCAGATTTATTCCATCTATACCATACTTCTGTTTTAAGTGCAAGAGAAACTCAGAGGAAAGATAGATTATCCTAGGTGGAAATCAGTTATAATTAGAGTTTGCAGCTTTCAGCCAAGAACCTTTGAAAACTCATACTCCAAATAACCCTTCTTCCATTGCCACCACGTTTGTCCTTACTTCATTTTATTTTTAGAAATTCAAAACTTAATTGTCTCAATATGACATGATTTCCTTCCCAAATCCCTAATGAATTTAAGCTCTTTAAAAGAGAAAGGCTGTGGCAAAGCCGGCCTAGAAATGTGGAAGGCTATTGGTGAATGCAGGAGAACATTTATAGGAGTGTAGGCTGCACTTGTTATGTGTCCAGAGAAAGGGCTGCCCCATGAGGAACAAAGAAACACATTCAAAATAATGCCCTTAATATATTATGAACGAGGACCTTTTCCTTAGTGTATATCTTATTATTGCATTTCTTTTTCTTGCTCAATAAATACACAGCACAAAAAAGCATTGCTTTTATGTTTTAATTTTCCAGCACCACTCTGTATTGGAGACAGTAATTAATGAAAATTATAGGCTAAACATTTTAAAGTTTGCTTTTTGTACCTTAATACTTATTTAAAAAAAGAATCTCACTCTGCCTAAAGATATGTGAGTGTGAGAGTGTGTATATGTGTGTGTATGGGGGGCATGTGTGCAAGCTGTCTCTTTTGAAGTCCTCAACCAACTCTATGTAAATGACAATGTCTAAAATATGGGGTCCTGTATAAAAGAGGTTGTTTTCTTACTCCTGCAGCATGACTTTAAATGTAATATTCACATGTTAAGGAGCCTTAGCTACTAGATTCATTTACATTTCAAGAAAGAAATAACCCAGTCAATATGTTCTACCAACAAAATTAAGTATTGTTGAGCTATTTATTTTAAAAAAAAAATCTTAAAAACATGATTAGAAGGACATACTGAATAATATTTTATAACCTGGCTCATGTGACTATATTATATAACAAAATTGGGTTTTCTTCCAATTTTTCATTTTATAATTGAGCATAGCAACAAAGAATATTGAATTGGGCTAGGTGACCTAAGAAAATGAAATTCTTGCCCTCATTTAGAAGTGAATACATTTTTTAAAGAGCAGAGAATATTCTGTCTGGAGAAGTTAAATGGGAACCATAGAATAAATAAATAGTGATTTCCCAAACTTTTCCCAGATTAATTCAAATCTTGAAGTCTTAGGTTGAAAAAACTTATAGGTACCTCATCATGGTCGTCCCATAAAATACAATACCATTTCCTGAAAGCTGTTAGAATGAATGAAAGGATTTGTGGTGCAAGAAAAATGAAAGCTGAGGCAGGTAGGGGAAGAGTGGGTCATAATATATGCAGCTATAATTACACAGTTGTACTTTCTAGTAGATATTCAAAGAGTTAATTTAAAAATATACTGATCAATTTGATGCAATAAAAAGTTTTAGGCACCTGTTGGCAATAGTGGTAATATAGCAAGATAAAGACATAATATTTCCTCCTGGGCATTTGTAACCTAGGGTATGTGTTTGTGTGTATATGTGCATATAGTAGGGGGTGGGCAGAGGACAGATGTGTGAGCTCTCAGCATCTTATTGTTAGAGAGGGAAAGACTGATCATCCCAGGGATCATGCAAACAAAATCCCCTTAAGTACTGAAGGAATAAATTTTCCAGGGCATACTTGTTATGTCCAGAGGTTTCTTCTTACAAGTCATGGCCCATTTCATGGCAAGTTGTCCTTTATTTTAATATTTTTTCCTGGTTGCTAATGATTTGGAACTATAATTGGAAAATACAAAAAGGTACAAAGAAGAAAATAAAAATCATCTTTAATCCTTCTACCTAGAGATAACAATGATTATATCTTCCCCAGGTTATTTCTCTGGGTGTGTATCTCTCTCTCTCCCTCCCTCTCTCTCTCTCTCTCTCTCTCTCTCTCTCTCTCTATATATATATATATATATATACACATATATATAGATTATACACACATATTATATATTATAATATGTGTGTGTATATGTGTATTTGTATGGATGTTACAAAATTGAGAACAAAATAATGTGTAGTTCTGTTACCTTTTTGCCCTTACTAAAATATATTTTAAATATTTCTCCATGCCATTAAAATGGTTTTACAACTTTTAAAATGTCCATTATGTGGATATGTGGCAATTTATTTTAAATACTCCCTTATTGTTTTGCATTAGGAAATGTCCTAATGTCCTGCATTTTTGTTTGCTTTTCTGCAATCTATTTGCAGCCAAATCTTTATGTGCACTTCCTTAATGTACATTAAGGAACTAATGTACTTGAGCTTGACCTGTGGTGAGCATGCTCAGTGCCTAGCGGGGGTGGGTGTTCTGGAGAAGCCAGACTGGCTGGATCTGGGTGGCAGTTACTGGCTCGTCCCCAGTTCTAACGGACCAGGCTGCCTTGCGGTGCCTGGGCAGCTTCAGAGGACAGTTGGAAATTTGTAATCTTGGAGGAATGGTCGAGAGGAACATGGGCTATTTTAGGATAAAGTTATTTTAACTTTAAAAGTCAAGTAAGACCAATAAATAAGATTCATGGGGTGGGGGAATAGTTCTTATTGGTGGTACAGTTTGTTTGCTTAAGTCCAGCAAACTTAGTTGATTGTTCAACACACCACTGAACTTTCTATAGATAAAATCAAGATGAACAAGAATAATGAGAGGAAAAGGACTCAACGGGGTTGTGAAAGAAGCAGCTGTTGGACGTGGAGATGGGCATTAGTTGTCCGTGAGGCATACACCTGCAGCCTCTGTAGAGGTCGATATCTCCTACCGAACAAACCAGCTATTTTTCCCAGTTACTCCCCTTCTGTCAGGGCTTGCACCTGTCTCGTTGTTGAGAAATTTGAGTCAAGATTCTTCATCTGCTACCCTCTTAAATCTGAAATGAACTAAGGCCTGTAATTTTATTCCATTTGGACTGTCTCTCACATCTTCCTCCATCTCCATTCCTACTTCTGTCACCCTCTTCCAGCCTTTAGCACATGTCTGCAATTCTGGGTATCTTCAGGCTCCAGTCCCTACCTCACCAATTTCTCCCCGTCTGTTTGCAGCTTACTATTTCCCAAATGCCATTCATCATTTCCCTCAGAGAACCCAAATCTACTGCAAATAACTTATCTACAGACCATGAGCTTTTTTCAAGACTGGGGTTTTATCATACTCACTTTTATAGTTCCAGTTTTTAGGAAAGTGCCAGCCACTTAACCCAATTTTAGCCTTGCAACAACTCCATGAAGTTTTTGAATGGGAAACTGAGTCTCAGGGAAACTGAGTCTCAGGGAGGGAAAGTGATCTGCCAAAGACCACATAGCTAATAAATGTCAGAACGGAGCTTCTGTTATAGACAGGTCTGTTTTTTCCCTAAACCACATGAGCTTGGCTGCACCTTGCTGCCACCATTGTCAGGAACTGGAGACTTTCTCAATCCAGTTATCTTGCTGTATTTCTAGCTCGTTTTTGAAATGAGGCTATGTTATGGGATATCACCTGCTACAAGAGATATATCTGAGGATGTTGTAAGGTAGAGGTTAGAGGAGAAGGGCTGGTTGATGAAGGCGAAAGAGAAGTTTTTAGAAGGTGCACCTTAAGCTAGGACTTGAGGGTCAAAATGAGATTTGGTCAGCAGGAGACCAGGACGGAGGGCATTGCATATCATGGGAGCAAACAGCGAAGGCATGGATACAGAAATGAACTGATAGTGCTGTGAATGAAGAAATTGGCTTATCTGTAGAAAGATTTCATGTAGTCTTTCTCATGGGAAACAATCTTCCTTTAAAGGAATGATTTCAAATGATGAACAGTGGAGACTCAGAAGGGTGGGGAATTGGAGGGGTATGGGTGGTGGGTAGTTGCTTGGTAGGTACAGCGTGTGTTACTTCAGCAATGTATGCATCGAAGGCCCTGACTTCCCAACAATGCAATTATATCAATGTAACAAAATGTACTTGTACTCCATGAATATGTACAAATAAAAAATAATAGAAAGAATAAATGATAAAAGTAATTACTGACAAGGAAAAAAAATAAAGGACTGGTTTCGCTGGTGCTATGGAAATAAACTCCATGATTTCATGAATTTAGGTGTTAAGGACTGCAGAGAAACAGCCATGTTTTCTGTATGGTGAGAGCAGAGAGAAGAAAGCTCACTTGAATGTGGCATTCCTTCACTTGGGATTTTGAATTGAGTCTTGACTGTGTGAGAATTATTGTAGCAAATCATAGAGTACAGGAGTCAGATTTGTATCTTAACATGGCTTCAGTTTTTAAGATAACTTTTAACCTTCAGAAACATTTTCACCCCAAGTTTAGGAAACAAGAAGTGTAAAATGGATTGGGAAAGGTTTGAACATGTTATTGCAAAGAGGACAATTTTTTACGGGCTAATAAACTTTGTGGCCAAAAAGTATGTTGTGGAAAGGGACCTGGCTGATGGCAAACAGTAAAGCAAGAGACATTTGGAACCAGAACCCCCCAGATGATCATCAACTCTAAATCAATGTCATACAATTAAACAGGATCATTTAAAAAGTATTAGGCAAGTTAAATAGCAAAGAAAATTACACTTCAGTAAATAAAGACAGTTTATTAAAAGTCTAGTTTTGGTATGATATTTGCCTTTTTAAACTTATGAATAAAGAACCAAAGAAGACTTAATGTATATATTAGCTTTTAAGTTACAATACAGACATATATGCACACTGAGAAAAGTCATTTTAGTGGATTGTGACAGTATTTTGTGTTTTTGCATATGTGAACATCTGTGGGGATAGGGGAGAATGTCACATGTTTCCTCCTGTTTCCCTCCAGGCCCTGACTCTTCCATTTTATAGCTTCCCTGCTCTGGGATTCCAGCTAGTGGCTATACAACTACTCTGGGTCTTTAGCCCTGTCCTTCTCAGAATTTTTGACAGCCAAGCTGGAGCAGAATATATGTGAAGTATGTTTTTCAGCCCTAAACCTCAGTTTCCCTCTTAGAGAAGGACCATCTTATAAGCTACCACATCACCCAAGTCACGGATAGGCCTAGAAATCATAGTTTGCCAACTGAGATATTGACAATGGAGGCGGGTCTTTGCTGAGAAGGGGCAATCAACCCACAGTTGGTTTAGAATTTTTAGGGCTAGAAGATTCCACATGGTGAGAGAGGTCAACTGCCAAGACCTTGGCTAAACCCTCCATGTGGCTTGGTCTTTTTAAAGAAACTGATCCTTTTGAGCATGTCTTGTCTCTCAGCCATCCTCCTTGAAGTCCTCCCCATATGATGATCACATGGTTTATTCTGGGTTTTTGTCCTAGTCCTGGTCTGACTTTTGCCTGCTGTGCTCTGAAGTAAATACCAGTTTATGGTATAACTGACCCTTGACAGTCTATGCCTAGCTTCCACCCAGGAGACCAATTAGAACATGCTTCCTCCTGACAGAGCATGGGGCTGTCCTAAGCAGTGGAGGCTGTGACCCAGGTGATGGTGGCCTTAGTTTTGGGGTAGCTGTCACTCACCTTCTCAGAGGTATTATTCAAGGGAAGGAGCTGAGGATAGGGTCTGACATAAGAGATTCCTTTCCTCCTTCCTAAATAAAGCACCATCAGGCCTAAACATTCCTATCTCTCAGAAGTATGGGGGCTGATCATAAAGGCATCATCAGAGACAAAACAAAAACAGGACCCCCCCCCCCGCCTTCTTTTAGGCCATCTACATCATATCCAGAACAGTATCTGGTACAGAGCAGGCTTTCAATAAATATTTGCTGCACATAGAGATTCAAAAGGTGAATGGGGATGAAGAGGAGAGATGATTCTAGCAGTTATTATGCTCTGAGCATTTTTTTCAGTGGACAGTGTGGTTAATTATGCGGTCATTATTTTAGTCCCCCTTTATTGCCCTTCAGTCTTGAGGTTTAAGCCAAGAACTACTCAGTTTGTTGGAGTTTTTGTGGAGTTTGAGGTTAATAGCTCTGCCTCAAGTCAGCTATTGCTAATAGCAAATGGCTTGTGTTCTTCTCATTACCCAGGCCTTGTTCCCAGTCTAACAACAGGTCGCTGTCTTATTCCCATATGCTTGTGTACCCTTCATGTTTCTCACCAGCACAAGATCTGCCAGAATCTTTTCACACTCCTGGGACTCAGTCCTCACAGCTGCTGTCTACCTCTTGCTGCCAGGCCACCCTCCTGCCAGGTGCTTGTCCAGGCGGCCAGTGTGTCACCTGCAGCCCACCAGTGGGCATCTCCTGGCTATATTTATGCCCACTGGCTACTGCTGGGGAGCTCTTGTATTGTGTTTTCCTCACACGCCTAGTCTGGCCCCTGACATCCTAGCCCCCCTTACCAGGCCCATCCTGCTGCTGATTGAATCCTTTTTCTAAGGAAGAGCATATTTACTATGCCCCTCTGCCTCCTTCTGGTGTCTCTACTATGTTCTGATTAGGAAGTCTCTCTGTCCTTTTGTTCAAGTTTAGTTTATTATTGGCTCTGGTTCATTAAGAAATGTTTTCTCAGAGACTGATCCTAAGTTTGGGCAGAAATTCCAGTTTTTGGAAGAAGCTTAAGGTTGTATATGGGGCTGTGTGCCTCTTTGTGGAGGCCATGAGTGTCCTTGGGTATGGGTTCACGCTGTGTGTGTGTGAGAGAGAGAGAAGAGAGAGAGAGAGAGAGAGAGAGAGAGAAGCATCTCTCTATTTAGTACTTTCTGAAAAGCATATCACTTAAATTGAAGGAGAAAGAACAAGGTGGACAGAAATAAGATCAGCCTTTTTGTTCTTCAGTGATCTGAAGGAACAATCATATATCATGTTGTTTAGATAGTCCACCTTTCCCACGTGATATTTTTTTGGCCTTCATTCTTGGTCTCCTATTGAACTCAAGGTAGATTTATCTGTTTTCGTAAGAGGCATCAGAATAAGAATGATGGCCATTATGACTGGATAAAACTTAGCAGTAGAAAAAACAGGAACTTGAAAAGATAATGTAGTATGGTGTCTAATGAAGAGACCAGCAGAGTGATCCCATTTGGGTATTATATTCTGTGTGTCTACAAAAAAATTGGCAAAGGACAATTTAAACTTGCTATCCTATATTAGGGAGAAAATTTTTCATATTTATTATACTTCATTTATATGTGGAGAGAAAGAGAGGAATTGATTTAGTTTAATGCAACATTTGGATACTCTCCCTAACCTTAAATTTTTGTTAAATAACAGCTATATGAATATTACCTTGCAGCTGACCTTTTGGGATTGCTTTTCCCTAGTGAACATTTTTTCTAATTTTCTTTATGTGCATTTAAAACAGAGTTGTGGGAGGGATGTAATTTAATTCCTCTATTTGTATTTTATCCACTCACTTTTATGTCTGGGACAAAGAAGTGCATTTTGAATAAATCTAGGAGATAATTTAAAACTACTGCTGGTATTGACAAAATACATAGCTAGCAGGTATATATTTGCATGAATATGCCCATAGGTAGAATCAATGCATCTCTGTGAGAGGGTTGATATGAATGTGTCTCTCTTCTTTA